ATGAGAAAACTTCACTTTGGAATTCGATAATAAATGAGAATCATTGATTTCACTTAAATATTTTCTGATAATAGAGCTGAGAGAAAGCTTTTGATTTGAATTTTGTATGGTTGGTATCTTGAAATTTCTATATGTGAACATCAGAAGATTTTTCGAAGTTTCTAAGAAGTTATTCGTGACACATTCATCGATAGATTTAGCGAGATCAGAAGCAGTAAGTATTTGCGAAGCTTTCGGTATTCTTTTTATTATTACAGTTTGTCTCCTCATTTTGGCCAAAAGATTGTGGAGAGAAGAAACGTCACCTAAATTGTTCCCTGAAGGTGTTTGTCTTTTTGATTATGAAACATCATTGTGAGATTTGATATTGAGACCTCTTGGTTTGAAATTCCTATTGCACAAATCACATTCCACCTTCTCCTTCGCAAATTTGTCAGATTCTGACATCAAAATCACAATTTTTCAAGATGTCAGACAAGAAATATTCTTCAGAAATGCTACAGATCGGTGAATCGTCGAATACTGCAATGTCTCGGCTTTCTCTTCCACGTAAGGTATAGTCGGGAACCATTTATTTCAAAAATAAAATGTAAAAACTTGAAAAATATCACTTATCCTGTATGCTCGTGTTGTATGTCAGAATTACCTGATTACTTATGATTCAATATTGAACTCAGAAATCTATCTTTTGCAATTATGTACGTTTGCCTGATCATAACTTTCTTGTTTCTGTATATTTACGAGTCAAATTCATTCAAGTATAAGCGAAAGTAAAAGTTCATTTTCTTGTCCCAAGAAAATAGAGATGTTACAAGATTCAATTGAAGTTCGCATATATCTTTCTACTCGACCATTGAATAGCTTTATCAATATCAGTGGTGATAAAATGTGATATCATAACGGAATTACAGGGGATGTAAACAAATTCAAGCATTTTATAAATTCAAGTCAGTGATTATCATCGTTTAGGTATTGTTGGATAACAACAAAGTAACAATGATTCTGTGGTGGACTATGTGACACCCTAAACTATTTTAAATCGTGATAGATAACTCGTTGAGTGCTCTAATCTCAGGAATCAGCTAATCATATCAATAGGGGTATTACATAACGAACAGCTATTGTTGTCCATAGATTAAACAGAGATGCAGAATGTCAACTTCATTCAGTACCTGTATATGTAGGTTGTACACCTGTATGATAATGTGGAATCCAATTTTCAAATACAGTTCTCAACACACTGAATGGACCACTCATCATTTGACTCTATTTAGAAGACCTGTATTTTTTGAAAAAATTGACCGATCTTCATGCGGTTTTCGATATCAGATGAGATGTCGAATCGTCTTCAAGGAGCGCTAGAACACTCTGAAAAAGTCCGCAGAACGAAACTTACACAGGGTGTAAAGTGGGACCATTACACTATGGTCTACATTTCCAATGCTGCCAGAACTCGAGAAATTTGTTTCTGATCAAAAGTCAGTCATATTATGATACATTGGGACCTCATCTCGGGACGTTTTCGTGATTTCTCCTTAATTGGCCATTTGAACAAAAATTCGATTGTTTTTTCGAAAGTCTTGCATTTCTTGAATTTTTTCTCTACAACTCCACTTGAGCTGACTATTGGGAAGAACTGTTCTCATGTTTTGTGGAGGACAATGAAAGACGAAATAAGGACTATTGTGGAATATACAGGATGATAAGAAAATAGGACAAAATCTCATTTCAGAAAAAAAAACAAAAATGGTGACTAAAACCATGGCCCATTCGATTCGGTATATTCAGAATAAATATTGGATATCAGTTGATAAGAATCATCGATATCAGGAAACAAGTTTGAATTGAAAATTTTCATCCTGTATTTCAATCAGAGATGAATTTTTGACAACGTCACGAGTTGATAGTCTAATATGAATAATGGATATCGAGAAGGCTGTCTGAATATACTGAATCGAATGGGCTATGGTTTTAGTCACCACTTTCGATTTTTTTTTACTGAAATGAGATTTTGTCCTATTTTCTCATCATCCTGTATATTTCACAAAAGTGCTTTTTTCGTCTTTTATTGTCCTCCACGAAACATGAGAACAATTCTTTCCAATAGTCAGCTCAAGTGGAGTTCTAGAGAAAAATTTCAAGAAATGCAAGACTTTCGAAAAAAAAATCGAATTTTTGTTCCAATGGCTAATTAAGTAGGAATCACGAAAACTTCCCGAGATGAGACCCCAGTGTATCATAATATAACTGACTCTTGATCCGAAAAAAAATTCTCGAGTTCTGGCAGCATCGGAAATGTAGACCATAGTGTAATGGTTCCACTTTACACCCAGTGTAAGTTTTGTTCTGCGGACTTTTTTAGAGTGTTCTCGCCCTCTTTGAAGTCAATGAAATATCACATCTTCGAAATAGAGTCAAATTATGAGTGGTCCATTTAGTGTGTTGAGAACTGTACTTGACTCGATGTTGGTCGAAGACGTAACTATTTTTGATTGCACGATACTGCATAATTTCGAGATAGAATCTGATATAACAATAACAAATAGGTCATTTTAGTACGTGGTATGGGTACGTGAAAATTCGGTTCATAAAGACATTCCATGAATTCATTCACATTTTCTCAGTGAGAGTTTTTGTTTTTAACTGAGCAGTGCTGACTATTATGTTTCTTTACAAAACAATCACAGGCGACGAAAATAAACACGTTTGAGGATATCTAGTTTACTGTTTGTTCAGTTTGAATGTCACAAATTTTATGATCAAAACGATTCAATTCAACTCGACTCACTTAATCATTTCATGGTTTATGCGGATTTTGTACAAAATTCTCATCAATTTCCATATTGAATTCACAATTCGTAAACTCTCACAATTTTCCTTAAATTTCAACAAACTTCCTTGTAATTTCTTTCAAATACTGAATATCGAATTTCAACAATTCCCAATGAATTCCCATCACTTGTACATCAAAATTAACATCTGAGATTTCCCTTGGACTTTGATGACATATGACACCATTGATGATTTTAAAACTTATTGTTTGTGATCAAATTGATCGTGATTCAAGAGTCCCTTCAAGCAGTGAATACAGAATGTAGGCTCTGTAATAGTTTCTAGTCTCATTATGTTAGTATGAGATCTGGTATAGTTGCAAAACGAAATAATCGTGAACATTATGCATTCTGAAATACATGAAAATATTTTCGCATTCTAAATTATGTAACATGCATCATAACTAATTCAATCTGAAAATGGATATTCGTTAAACGAAATTCCAAAAGTTTCCTTGAAAATTGCACACCAAACATTTTCGATCAATTTAAAGTCTGTATTTCGTATCGTTACCATAGCAAAAACACAAATTTGGAGCATGAAATTACACTGGGAATTTTTGACGTTTATGGGTGGAATAACATTTACATTCAACTTCAGATTATTTCGAGTTCATTCTATAAGTCTATAAATAAAAATCATTTATCAACAGTTTACCATATAATATTATGTAGGTATACTTGCAAATTCAAAATTTTCAAGAACACATGTTGTTACTATACGTTAGTTCTTACATTTCATAACAAACAACCATCAACATGTAAATTTTCTTACCGAATACCACTTTAGCTTCAATCAATATCCGGGAATTTTTTCTCGAACACGAATATTTAGGATTTTCAAAATATTCGTGTTTTCCAAAAAAAATCCGGAAATAATTGTAACTCTCGTGATATTATAAGTGAAAATTCCATTTCATAGGAATTCTGATATCGTGTGTATCTCATTTGTATATATGACTCATTGGATAGTTATTTTTCCACTCTTACCGATACTTCCGAATTTTATTATTCGAATATTATTTTGTCAAGTGAATGCCATAACTAACCTCGGCCATAACCAATTCCTTGCAACATCCTGATTAGGTCCGAAAATCTGCAAATTGCATTATTGTTCGATGGCTCTTTTTTTGGATTTGACCTTCTTCGAGACATCGGCTAACAAATTCTTCATATTTCATCGACGTAATGTAGAAATGGGCGAATCCCACTTGTTATATAACATTCTAAATGGAGGCATCGTAGATAGACACAATTTCAACACTCAAACACATTTTTATTCACTCAAGACGGCTTGTACAAATATGAACGTTCTTCGGTTTTCGCAAATAATTCATTATCTACGCATTCATAAAAGAAACAAACTAACTGTCTGATGTGAAGGAGTCCTGACCATATGAGTTACTGCTTTTGTCAGCGTGTATCTCGATTCTTGATTTGATATTTCGATATTTTCAACAAGACGGATCTACAGCACATACTGCTAATGAAATAATTCTGTTTTTGAGGGAGCTTTATGGAAACCGGATAATTAGTTGAGGTTTGTGGCCACCTCGCATTCCGGACTTAACGCACCTAGATATTCAATTGTTTGGTCGAATGAAAAACATTTTCAGAAATAGAATTCACACTCCAAAGCACCTACAGGCAGCAATTATCGAAGTGGTGCAAAGTATCACACAAAATGAACTTTAGCTCCAGATAGTGGAGGTGGGCATATTGAACATTCCTTATAATCCAACCGTTATTGTCATCTTGAGAATTGATAGCGTTCCATTCATTGCAGGTGTATTATGTCTGTCTGTTTGTTATCTACATTCCAAAATTCGAATTAATAACATATATTTCTTTCCCAACGCAATCGTTACCCTATTTTTTTTCAATTTCCTTCGGCACTGATTTTCATCAAATCCATGGTAGGGATATTTTGACATCCAGAACTACCACCTGTGCAACTTTGGTTGCCTTATTCTTATGTTCACGTGGGGTACGGCATTTTATGAAGACCCTGTATAAATCATAATTTACCTTTTTTAGGAACAGCTACAATCTCATCTTCGGGAACCTTGGATGGATCACTGAATAAACTCTTCTCAAACTGTAAATGCAACCTTAAGACAAGTTGTAATTGTGGATTTGTAGACAAATTATTGAAACATTTCAGTAAAGAGGATTTGGTAAACTTCAAACGATATGAAAGTAAAATTTCGCAAACGGAACATTGGAAAGATAAGTCCAGTTGTAATAATATCGGCGTACAAGTACAGGTATATACGCAAAACCAAAACTCACAGACATTCAGTAATTTGAGCAATCAGATTTCTCAGACATCGAAATCTCAACGTCATTCACAAGATGTTGGAATCCAAACTTCAGCTATTGTACCTGTGAAAATACCACGAAAGACTGAAGTGATTCAAGTGGGATCACAAGATCAAAATACTTTAACCAAAGCTGAAGATGTAAGAGTCCATCAATTGAAAAACAATAGCAATCAGAGAAATGCAGCCCCGCGACATATTACTACATCTTCAAATAGTTCTCACATTTTGGTTCCTCATTCTATTGAAAAATCATCTGAGAACATCGATGGTCAAACCAACATCGAAAACGCCAATGCAGGTGGAAATAAAAGTCCAGAGAATGATATGTATTTGAATTTATCTTCCATGTCACCCAATGGTGAGTAAGTTGCTCATTTTCTGTAATAATAATATTTGTATTATTAGGTGTTATTATTTGTCAGAGATAAATAATTTATTATGATGAATAGTATAATCGTCCTTTGTCCAATTTTCTTTTTCAGGCACAGGTATACTTATAGTTTGATAAAAGTGGAAATTGAAGTCAGTACCTTAAATTACAAATAACTAGTCGAGTCGGAGTGAAATTTTCAGTGCAACTATTCTTTTCATTAAATTCCATTGTTAATTTTTTTCATCTAAAAAAAAAATAGTAAATTTTTTTTTAAATGAAAATTTATTTCCCCATATATACATCTTGAGAATATTCATAAAAAGTCTTATTTCTATTTCTTTTTACTGCTCCGTATGTTCCGCTCTAGGTGTATCACTCAGATTCATAACCTCAAAATTCAATATGACTGCGCTGGTTGACACGTTACATTCTAAATCGCATGCTTATATCATCAAGTGAATAATTTCTACCAGTCAGTCGGACTAAGCGTTACAAATAATCAATGGTAATATCCCAACACACATAGCCGACTAATTTTATTGAGAATTTTATGAAGAGTTCATCTTCGAATTTGGTTCAATCAATATGCACATCCACAGTTACGAAATGTTGGATAGTTCTGATTTTCGATGTGTTGTATCTGTACTGAAACGCCGAAGTTTTCGGAAGCGCCGAAAGCGCAGAGAAACGGCGAAATTTACCTAGTTCTAGTTTTTTTCGAAATTTAAGTATGAAGAAATGGTTCAACGAGAAAACTGATTCAGTCCTACCATGAAGAACAGTAAAATTTTTTACTATCAGGAACGAATCGTTTTCCTGAGGATACCTAATACTTTTTGAGTGACAGCCATTGAAAATTCCAGCAAATTTTAAAAATTTTCAAAAATTGTTAAATTTTAGCTAGTATTTTCGATTTTTACTGTAAAGCAATAGTTTCCAGCAGAGTTGATAGATATTTGTTTGAAATAATGATGAATATGGAGTTCCTATCTTGAGAAGCTTCTAAGGCAAAACGGTTCAAAGCGGCTATCAATTTCACTTCAGATCTATACTATTCATGAGTATATGCCATTTCATTCACGCCGCCCCCTGATCATTCCTAGAAGTTCCCACGTATCACTTATACTCATAGGCCGTTATTAGATACAATATTAGGACCAGATCAGACCAGATCAGAATCAGACCAGATCATACAATATTAAGTAAAGCTCGTTTTGAACGGATATGTGGATTAACATTACTTATTTTGTCCTTAGCTTCAAGAATAAGATATTTTGCGTATGATAATAAGTTTAAGAGTACATTATGATGTGCAAAAGCGGGTTGAATAGAACGCAAATTATTAAGCATTTTTTCTACTCCATTATAGAAATATTCAATATTATTTAGTTGTTTGATTATAGGTATTATTTCTATATAGTGAATGAATGTATGTTTGGTCTCGATTACTTTTGAATTTCCGAGTTGGAAAGGAAGTAATGGGGCCTTAATTGGTATAACTTCCACATCTTCACTAATCGTTGTCTTGATTGTCATCAGGAGTATGACTACAAGAAGGAATCTGTTCATCAGGGACATTTTCCTGTGTAGAAGAAAAAGCTTTAGGTTTCTCAAGTTGTGACTTGTGAATTATTTTATTTTCGGGTGTTTTTATTTTGGTTCCTAAGTCTTCTTCTACTGAGGTTTTTATATGTCGCTTTTTGTTTTCATTTCGTGAGGCTCCGACATTGAATTCAGGTGGTTCTTTGTTTTTCGCTCAAATGAGTTGTATGGCTCAGAGACGTGTCATGAATTTTTTCATATATATTTTTTAGTTTTTCTCTACGGTCAATTACAAACTGATTCATTATTGTTTCCTCGGTGAGATCAAATGGATCTAAAATATCGAGTCATCCGTTGATGAGATCGAAAGCCTTTTGTGTAGTTACACTATGAATGGATGAATTGTAACCAAGTATCGCAAATTGCATCACTTGTTTGGTGTTGGACTTTGTATCTGTTATTTTTAATATTCTGAACAATTCAATTAATGTTGTCTTTCTACTGGACCGTTGCTGTTTGAATTACCGGGTGTGGTAAAATGTAATCGGATGTTATGTAGTTTGCAGAAATCAGTTAACAGGGTGTCTTTAAACTCTGTTCCGTTGTCACAAGTAATTGATTGAGGGATACTGTGATGGCTTAGAAATGTCATTAAGTTGTCAAATACTGTGAATGATCTACAGATAGGCTCCTAAATATATGCTTGAGCATATTTTGAGAAAACATCAATTATTGTTAGGTATTTCGTACTTGATATTTGGAAAGTATCCATATGAATTGCTTCCAAAGGTTGTTTTGGTGTGGCTGTCAATGAAAACTTTATTCTTGGGGGATGCCTGTCGTATTTTGTATCTTGGCAAATGTCACAGTTGTTAATATATTTGGTTATTGCTTTTCGCATGCGCGGCCGGCTAATACCCTCTCATTTATGCCGCGATGTCAAGTTTTTTCGTGATGATATGAGATGATTTCTTTTTGTCTCTTCTTATCAGGAACATCTTTTACAAACTGTTTCGAAATTAACAACATGTAAGAATGATTTTTGAAATATTTCGGTAATATATCACTGAGATGGATTGTTAAATCTATTTCTGATTGTTGGACATGAATACGATGTAGCATTTTTGGATCTACATGGTCCTTGAAAAATTTGAATATTTCCTGATCGAAATTTTGTGTTAAATAGACTGTTTGCCTTCTACCACTTCCAATAGGTTTACTTCTTATGACATGATAAACACCTGTTTGTTTTTGATTAAATATAATTTGATTCGTGTATCTGTTAACACAATGTTCTGTTATTGGTATGTCTAAAATCGGGTTTTCTTCTGATGAATGAACTGTTTCATCAGTGTTTTCTGGTCTGATTTGAATATCTGATATTATGTTTACTCGCGGGGGTTCAGTTTCAACATCGGGGTCGAATAATTGATCAAGATTTTCGAGATCTTCAACTGAAACTCTTTCGGGTTGATCTTTTCGTAGATATTGCTCGATTTCTTTGTCGATATCTCCAGGATTTCCTATTATTGATTCGTTTTCGATTGTATGGATTCCTACTCGCGAAAGGGCATCAGCATTGCTGTTTTGCCGTTCTTTTTCATAATGAATTTTCGTTATTTTAACCGCCATCTAACTAGACGTGAATTTGGTTCTTTCAAGTTAAAAGCCATTGAAGGGGCTTATGGTCAGTGACAATTTTGAATTTTTGCCCGAATAAATACGGTCTGAAAACCTCGTATAGGGTGACCTCCGCCTTGGTGTCAGAGTGCATAGATAGCCTACAAAGGCTGTCAGCAACGAATAAGGTATGTCTTTTGTGGGTCCCTGGACACTCAGGGGTACCAGGTAACGAAATGGCCGATGGTCTGGCCAGAAAGGGGGCGAAAGGTTCAGTGATTGGCCCAGAGCCAATCTTAGGGGTCACTCGATCCTGGAGCAACTCCAAGATGAAGGAAATCCTGACGGAAAAGGTTCAGGACAGCTGGAGGAAGGCTCCTCGAATGAGGCAGTCCAAACTCCATATAGGAAACCCGTCACGAAGACAGACCAATGCCCTCTTGGCTTTGAACAGGAAGGAGCTGAAACTGGTGGTGGGCCTGCTGACAGGGCACTGCCACCTGAACAAACATCTCAGCATGATCGGGATTGTGGAGGATCCAGAATGCAGATGGTGCCTAGAGGATGAAGAGACTTCTACTCACATCCTCACTGAATGCCCGGCAATAGTGGCAGCAAGGGATATCCATTTTGGGAGCAGTATCCTGGACCCAGAGGATGTTAAAAAGATTTGGCCTAGGAAGTTGGTCTCTTTTGCTCGCGAGATCGGCCTTCTCCATGGCTGACTTGCGATCCCAGGAATGTGGGTGCACAATGGGCCCGAAAAGGGAGGCCTAAGTGCGTCAGGTCCCGGACCGCCCACACACATACATACATACATACATACATACGGTCTGAAATATTTAGTTGCTCACACGATTGCTAATAGTTCTATCTCAATCGCGCTATAATTTATTTCCGGTGGGTTCAGAGTACGGGACGCATATGCAAATCGTTTCTAATTTCACCTTGGCTAAGAACTGCGCCTTCGGCTATGTTCGAAGCATCTGTTGTAACAACAAATGGCTTGTCAAAATCAGTAAATTGAAGTATAGGATTGTTACACAGTATGTTTTTACATAATTCGAATGTTTCGACAAATTCTATGTATACACTTCGTAAATGGTTTAGTCAATTTCGCAAAGTTTTTTATGAATCGTCTATAATCCCAGGAGACCAAGAAAATACTTGATTTCCTTTGCTGTTTTGGGTATCGAAAATTTTTTAACTGCTTCGATTTTTCGAGCATTCGGTTCTACTCCTTCAGGGGTTATGACGTGTCCTAGGAATTCCACTTAGTTTCGGAGGAATTCCGATTTACCTAGTTGAATTTTCAACCTTGATTCTCTCAACCTTTTAAATACTAATTTTAAGTTCGAAATAAGTTCTGTAAGACCAAAGAAAATATTATTATATCGTCCATGTATACCAGACATATTTTTCCTTGTAAATCACGAAGGACGTTGTCCATAACGCGTTGGAAAGTTGCGGGTGCGTTCTTAAGACCAAAGGGCATTCGTGCGTATTCAAAATGTCCATTTTCGACGTTAAATGCTGTTTTTTTTCTATTGAATTTGGATCCATCTCGATTTGATGAAAACCGGACGCAAGATCTAGTGTAGCATCTACCTAGTTTATGAGAGATGATTCACGGTCGTCAATTGTTTTTTCGTTCACCTTTCAGTAATCTACAACAATTCGCCATTTTGGTTTACCGCTGGCATCTAGTTTTTTAGGAACGATCCAAATTGGACTACTCCAGGGACTTTGACTAGGCCTTATTATACAATCGTCTAACATTTTGTTATTTTGGTTTGGTACTTCTTGTTTATCTACGAAAGGGT